TAAGAAAAAATAAGAATAAGGAAAGTTATAAAAAAGAGAAAGACCAAACAAATAAGATATAATTAAGAAGTTTTAAAAGGGGAGGAAGAGAAAGAATAGTAAGTCGTAAGATGAGCCAATATAATAGAATCATTTATATATATATATATATATATATATATATATATATGTGTGTGTGTGTGAAAATATATAGGAAAGAACTGGTTAGGTAAATAATCCAAAGTCCCTTAGTATTTTAGTTATTATTTTTAAAAGATAGCGCTCGATACAAAAGTAGAGCATAAATATAATTATTTATTTAAAAATATGATTCCAAATCGCTACATAAGAAGTCCCATGTTTCAAAACGAGCCGAAAACTTCAATATAATTATTAAATTAAATTGAGTTAAAGTAAGCTCTGTTCCATCTTCAAGCGAAATTTTTTTTTGGAATAACGTGTTTCTGAAATTTACGTGTTTTAAAAATTGAAATCAAAATTTCCATGGTAACAGCTAGGGCGAATTGTTTAAGTTGGGTAGGCGGGTGTTGGGTGTTAATAATAAGTATCAGTATAGAGTTACTTTCGAAGATGTCAAGTCAGGGAAAGGTGGGGGTGTCTAAATTTGAAACGGAAGATGTATTAACCCTCGTCTAGTTTGCATGTCTATGGAGATTTATTTTTTATGAAAGGGATTTGCGCATATAAAAAAACTGTCATAACGTTTGTTTTTTGACGACTTCATAAAGGGTTATTTTTTTTTTTTTTAGTGTATTTAAACTATTTATTTCGGCTATGGATTATGAAGGGTGTTATATTGTATGCATGTTTTTAGTTAATTATTCAAACCATGTATCTGATGAGTGGGCTAAGGATTAAACAAGTTATTATATTGTATGCTAGTTTTTGGCTAATAGTTCAAACCAAAAATCTGATGATGCCTACAAAAAACCGTTAACTCGTGTCTATTGTTTAATAGATTATTATTATTTAGAAGCTTAATTATGTGCAATTTCTCATGGAGGCATAAAGGGCATGGGTCATCCCAAGTTTTACATGTTCTAGCCTTGGAAAATTATTAGGTTTATAATACCTAGAAATTCATACACAGGTGTCCTCAAAGACACATGGCACACTGGATAAAGGCGTTAGTTAGATCCAGTGAGAGGAGTGTGAGTTCAATACCTGATTTACGCAGTATAGGAAAATAAAAAAAAAAACAGATATCAACTCAAATATGTGTAACCACTAAAATAAATGTTTCTGATAAGAATGCCCTTGAACAAAAAAAATCGACATCCCATCCGAAGTGTTCCAAAAACCAGGCCTCAAGATAATCCATTCCAAGAAAGAAACTATGATCTGGAATTGGAATGAAGGAAGTGATGGCATCAACCCTGAATCCATCATCAAAATTAAGGATTTGGAATTAGTAAATACTGAACATATGGACGTCCCGTATGGTGTTGAACTCAATCGGCTGTATACACAGGTTTTGAGCGAATGGATTCTGTTGGTCTGGGCAATCCTTCTTCGAACCTCCTAGACAAGGTCGACAGAATTACAAAGAACAGTACCAAATAACAGAAACCACATCACTTTGAGACTTACAGTAACAAGTAAAATGCGTGGCACGTGTAACTCGAAGAGAGACTAATAACATAATCAAGATGTTGACATTCCACACTACTTCAAAAAAAAGGTTAGGAAGGAAATCCCATCAATAGTGGAAAGAGTGATAACAGCTACTGGACTTGAGAAGAGAAAATAATGGTATAATCAAGATGTTCACATTCCATACTACTTCAAATAAAAGGTTAGGAAGGAAACCTCGAGAAATACTGGAAAGAGCGATAACAGCTACTGGACTTCAGAAATCAATTTTCCTGAGAACTTGTTTTAAGAGAAAAATTTTGGAAATTTCAACCTAGAGTAGCAGTGGCTGCTCGATCAATGAATGCCAAATGTTTCCTTATAGGGAAACGGCTAACATTAGCATTAGTGATGAAAACAGATACTACACATCGATCCCAGCCCGATGACTGGAGGGTGAAGGAAAGTATAACTCGATTAACATTGGCTGCATAGTCAATGAATGTCAAATATTTCCATATAAGGAAGAGTCTAATATTATTCAGTAGTGATAAGGAGAACAGCTACTACACTTTGATCTCAGCCAGAAAAGAAAAGCCTAACTCGAGTAGCACTTGTTACACGGTCAATGAATGCCGAATGTTTCCATATAAGAAAAAGTTTAATATTACCCATTAGCGATGAGGAGAACAGATACTACACTTTGATCTAAGTCAGATGACTGGGGAGTGAAGAAAAGCCTGACTTGAGTAGCACTGGTTGCACGGTCAATGAATGCCGAGAGTTTCCTTATAAAGAAATGTCTAATATTACCATTACCATTAGAGATGAGGAGAACAGATACCACGACACTTTGGACTCAGCCGGATAGCGAGGGGAGTGAAGAAAAATGTAACTCGGATAATACTGGTTCCTCGGTCAAACATTG